TTAAGAATTTTTGTTTAATGTTACATTGTTGTTTACATTAAAGGAAGCGTTTGAAAAGAGTCGAGTTGCAACTTGCTGCAAACCTGTGTTCTTATCTACAGACGGATTTGGATAAGCATTCTGCTCACTTTGAAACTCTAACAAACTCTTCCACGCAGTTTGCTTCACATCCCACCTACAGGTTGCTGTGCTTACGAGCATCTTTTATGCTTCACTCATTCCGTAGTAGAATGCTATCTATTTGAGTAAATCATCTCTGTCTTCCTTATCTTTTTTAGAACATCTAAAGTATGTAACTTTTATTGGCTGCCGTGGGGAAAAAACTTATTACTTCGCGGGTTTTTCCTTCAGAAAAGCTACCATAAAAAGCATTCTTATAGCGTGATATAGCGATTAGTGAGTTGATAGGAGTCTCTTGTTTATTCATATTTGCAAGTGGGTAAGAGGGTTAGAGAAGAAATGTTGATCAGAGTCCGCTTTGAGCTGACTTTAAAAGTTCCGCAAAACTGTAAAATTCACTTTTAGACATGTTTGGGCACGTCTTTATAGCGCTACAGGTTAGTAAAATTTTATAACAAATTATTTAGAATTTTTTTAAAGCGAGCGTTAAGAGAGTTTTTAAAATGCCATTCTTCTTTCCTGAAAAGTGGGAAATAATCACCCTACTTTTTGCCCTGTATACAATTAAGACCCATCGTTAACATTAATAGAGTAGGAATCACGACCGATCATGCGCATCAAAAAGGTCGTATACTTAACGAACATCGATGTTTGAGATTCGCTCGCATGTAATAAGGTGAAGCCATAGATGACCATGTTGTGGTGCTCTTTGGCTGACATCCAATTCTCCTCTTCCACGACGAATGTCAGAAGAAGTAAGGTTCAATCAAATTCATAAAGTGATAGATGCATCGGGTATTGTTTCTGTAGTACTAGCTTTCAAAAAAATAAGCTCAAAGTGAAAAAAAAAGGTGAGAGTGAGAATTGCTAAGTGCTCAACCTTACTTTTTACAGCAAAAGGCTCTTCTTCTGTGAATTACACTTAGCACGTATCGCATATGCTGGCCACATAAAGCACTGAAACATTCTACCACACAACTCCTCATGTATGAAGAAGAGCAGTACTATCGTACTTAATCGCAACTGCTTGACCGTAGTCCTTTTTTCAAACATAGATGGATGAAAAGAGTCAGATAAGAACAATTGACAAAGGATCGCCGAGAATGCGTTATCATTAGCAGAGAGCAGACTTAATCAAAATTTACTTCAACTCAGTACATTGGATTTCCCCTACTAAAGGTACTAATAGTTTCACTAATGAACTCGAAAAAAAAAAGTTTACTTATATAGTATACAGTCATTATAAACGGTAACGTTTTTGCTTTGTTGTGAAAAGGTTTCTTGAAATTCCCTACCAATATGTTTTAAAACAATAGAAAGCTTCCTTGATACGGCCTTAAGATTACGCGATTTTTGACAGACGAACGATGCAGCATTGAAGTATGGTTTGTGCAAATTTTTGAAGGTTTGATGTGAATGCACGAATATTCCATATTCCATAGTATGTCACTGTCATGTCGCATTCAATTCTACCAACGTCAACTCATAGTTTCTTGCATCTTTCTCATCTAGCTCTGTTCATTGGTGATCAAGAAAGACGAAATGTATTAGATAGAGTAATGTGGCCCTGTGATATTGGTAAAAAGCTTAATTCTAATTTGTGTATGAATGCTGTTGCAAAAAGTAGGAC